CATGAGTGGGCTCCTCAGCTCCACCCTCCAACCCAGGTGGTGTTTTAAACATATAAATCACATCATGTGAGTCCCTGCTTCCCACTCCCCATACTCACTAATTCTGGCCACTTGGCCTCCATCCCCTTCCACTGCCCCATGCTGCTCCTTCTCAACTCTAAAGTCTCACTTCCTCCAGATGCCTTCCTGACCATGGTCCAGCTTAGTGTAGACTACCAACCCTTTGACACTCCTCCAATAAGAGGAGGGCTTTATTTCTCCTTTCCTGAAGCTGAGCTAGGGCTGAGACAGCTTTGGCAAATAACATCTGGGTCGGGGGTGACACAATGCCAGCTCCAGGCCTAGCAGTTAAGAGGAAGCCCCAAGCTACTGTTTTGGAAGTCTGATGCCCAGCTGAAGCAGGAAGCCCTGACACTACATGGAGAGGAGGGGAGCCCAGCTGGGCCCAGCCTACTCACTGTCCCCACGGAGGAACAAGGCATGCAAGTGAAGCTGTCTGGGACCCTCCAGACCAGGCCCTCTGCCAGCTGAATATCACTGAGCCATCAACACCACATACAGCAGAAAAATCACCCAGCTGAGCCCTGTCCAAATCCTCAATCCATTAAACCGCAAGGTACACTAACTTTGGTGGCACTGCAGTTATACAGGATAGATAACCAGAACATAGTCTATTTATTTCCATCATAGCAATCATTGGATTACAGCTGGTCTTTGTTTTAGCTGCTTTTTAATGTTTTATTCTTCATCTCTCCCTGTAAATTTCACCATAGCAGGAACCAAGTCTATCTTGTTCACCACTGTACACCCAGGCAGGGTCTGGCACATGGTAGGTGCTCAATAAATATTGGTAGAATAAGTAAATAAATAAGTACATCAGAGTGTGATGAGCACAGAGGGAGGCCCCAGGTGGGAATCAAGGAAGCTTTTCGGTGGAAGTGACATCTCAATGCTACAGGGTGATGGCACACAGGTGCAGGGCTCAAAGGGCACAGCTATGGGATTGGGCCCCCCACAGCCATACCAACTACCAGCCCTCCCCAAGCCGTGTTCTTGTCTCTCAATATCTGGCAGCAGAAACCATGCCTCATTTATCTTTGTGTCTTTGGCACTGAGTACAGCCCAGGAAAATAGGAGGTCCTCAATGCACGCATTTCAAACAAATGAAGTCCCACATGGCTTCTTAGAGAGAGAAGCCTGAGCTGGAAGTTAAGAACCCTGGGTTTTCATGCTCAACAGCTCATTGCGTCCTTGTTAAAATAAGCTGCTCAGTTTTTTCTGTTGCTCAGTTTTTCTGTTGCTCAGTTTGCCTGAGATAAAACCATTGATTCCCTCTGTACTTCCCTGGGTTGTCATCAGGTTTATGAGAAAGCAAGGATGTCAGAGTCCTTTGAAAAAAGGTTTGTTAGAATTGGAATATGTGTTGTTAGAAAAGAAATATGATGATATTGTTCTCTAAATGTTAACCAGCCCCAGGGAGGCCTTCAGAGCCATCATGTGAGCCCTTCTTTGGATCACGTGCCACATGGAACTCAGCCCAGGTGAGTCTAGCCCTGAACACAGCACAGTGCCTGCTCCCGGGCAGCAGCACATTCTTCCATTGCCGAGGTAGGGAGGGAACAGCTGGGGCCTTAGGGAGACACGGCCACAGAGCACAGGGAGGGGCAATAGACTTGGAGCCAAGGACCTGAGTTCCCATCCCAGTTCTGCCCCTAATTTGCCATAAAATCTTGGGCAAATCAGTTCCATCTCTGAGGCAAATCTCTCAGCTAAAGTGGACTGGATAGACAAAATCAATCCTCTCCCTTCCTTCCCTCCTGTCTTCTTCCCTCCTTCCTCCCTCCTATCCGTGCACATGGACCCCAGCTATGCCAAGCACCGGATCCACTGCTGCAGTGGGAATAAAATGACAAGTCCTGGGCTCTGCCCTCAAGGCACCGAGGGGCTACTTGGCAGGTAGATGGACATTATTAAACCAAGAATCTTTATGACGGTGAGACGAGGCTTCTCAGAACAGCCCAAATGAAGGGAGCAGAGAACAGCACAGGCCCTGTGTGCTGAGCTCCAAGGAAGAGGCAACCCGAGGCCAGTCAGTGCTCCAGGGTCAAAGGGTAAGTCTAGCCTGCCCCTAGAGACTCTATGCTTCCAGAAGCCAAGATGGCTCTGCCATCACATTAGCATCGTGCAGAGGGCCCCCTCCAGCTGCACTGGCCTGGGCCGGCACTCTAATTAGACTTTCATAGTGTGTCAGGCAGCCTGCATGGCCCGGCTGCCAGCTGGGGCTCCTGTTCCGTCTGGTGGCCTCAGTTAATGAACCCATGAGGGGCTGGCCGAGCTCATTATAGGTGATACAAGGGAACAGGGTGCCCCCCCATGCCCTCAATCCATGCCTTTCCCATCTCCCCATGTGCACACTAAGAATGGGAAGAGAGCTGATTCCTAACCAAGAGGAAGGAGCGGGCAGGAGACCACCCTGTCTGCCTCTGTGGAGAGGCCGAGATGTGGCAGCTCCAGTGGCCACTCAGCCAGAGTCATGGGTTTCTGAGCCGATGTCTATGCCTGTGGGTTCAGGGAGAGTCCAGGTGCCGTAGATACTCTCAAGCTGCACTAGACCCTTTCTTATCCCAGGCCAAGGAGGCAGAACAAGAGTAGAAGGTTCAATTCCGTCTCTTTCCAATTGTGGGTTCATAGGCATGTTTGGACAAACTGCTTTCTCAGAGCTTTACCATCCTCATCTTTATGATGGGGTAGTAATATCCACCCGGCATCAAAGTAAGTGCTCAGTGAATGTGTTCAATACATTATATTTGCTTTTATTCTTAAAAGACAGGGGACAAGGCTGGGCATGGTGGCTCCTGCCTGTAATCCTAGCACTTTGGGAGGCCAAGGTGAGCAGATCACCTGAGGTTGGGAGTTCAAGACCAGCTTTACCAACGTGGCAAAACCACATCTCTACTAAAAATACAAAATTACCGGGTGTGGTGGCACATGCCTGTAATCCCAGCTAACTTGGGAGGCTGAGGCAGGAGAATCGCTTGAACCCCGGAGGCAGAGGTTGCAGTTAGCTGAGATCGCACCATTGCACTCCAGCTTGGGCAACAAGAGTAAAACTCCGTCTCAAAAAAAAAAAAGGACAGGGGAGAGAAGTTTCCAAAATTTGAGCCATGGTTATGAGTAGTGGGACTATGAAAGATATTTTTCCCTTTTCTGTACTTTCTAAATTGTATACAATGAGCATTTTACCTTTGTTGTTTGAAAAAGTACAAATTTTCTCCAAAATATATGTCCAAAAAAAAATGAGAAGATGTAGGTGAGAGGGTCTAGACTATGTCTGGGTGAATATTCTTAGTAGAGGCTTCCTCCTGCAGCAAAAGATTGAATAGAAGAGATTGGGTGGAAAAAGCAGCATGGTATTTGCAAATGTGTAATGCAGCAACTTCTTATCCCCACATGCCAAGAGAAGGCACATAAGTGAGTGTTTAGATGCTGTGGCACAGACTAAGGGAGGGGTTTAGGGGAGTTTAAAGGAAGAGAGCTCCTGGCCAGAGTGGAATGGAAAAACTGTAGACAGGAAAATGGATGCAACCCAAGTGTCCACCAGCAGATGAATAGACAAACAAAATGTAGTCCATCTGAACTATGGAATATTATTCAGCTTTAAAAAGGAAGAACATTCTGACACATGCTACCGCAGGGATGGACCTCAAAGACACTGTGCTGAGTGAAGTTAGCCAGTTGCAAAGAGATAAATATGGCATAACTGCATTTATGTGAGCTATCTACAGCAGTCGAATTCATAAAGACATAACGTAGAATGGTGGTTGCCAGCAGCTGGAAGGCGTGGCAGGGAATGGGGAGTTCATGTTTAATGGGGATAGAATTTCAGTTGAGGAGATGAAGAAAACACTGGAGATGGTGGTGACGGCTGCACAACAATGTGATCGTGCTTAGTTCATTTGCTTGAACTCAGGAGGCGGAGGTTGCATGAGCTGAGATCATGCCACTGCACTCCAGCCTAGGTGACAGAGCAAGACTCTGTCTCAAAAACAATACACACGTGTGTGTGTGTGTGTGTGTGTGTGTGTATACACACATACATACACACAGGGTGGGGAAGTGGGGGAGAGAGAAACAGGGCAGATGAAGCAAGTCACTTTTCTCCTGGTGTTGAGGGCCACTGGCTGGCGAAATGACCCAAGGAAAGGGGAGAGTCCAGGAAGCATGGCTGAAAGAGAGACAGTGCTGGCAGGGGGACCTGCTGAGTGGAGTCCTGCATGGTTGGCACAGTCCAAGTGAGATTTGCTGCTTCCTGCCTGCCTGCATTTAATGAGCTGAATCGGAGGAGTTCTAAGTGCGGAAGGTTTTGTAGCTGAAGGATTCAGGGCCTGCCAAGTCAGTGCCCTAGCAGATGGTGCCTCCATGAACTCAGAGCTTCGGGTATGAGAAATCAGGACAGGGACAGTTTGTGCATCATAAATAAGTAAATAAAGCAGGGATAGAGCCTGGGCATGGAGGTCCTCCAGGGGAGCAAGGAAGAGGAATGTTTGAGTATCAGTTCCATGGAGAAGAAATTCACTATGCCAAAGGAATTCAGAAGAAGACTGGCTGATACCCAAATGAAAGATAACTGGATAGGGACAGGATGTCCTGAAGTGAGGTAGGGGTCTCATCAGGGCACAGGAGGCTAGCTCAGTGCTGGTGCTTGCAGGATAATAATAACGACAGCAACAACTGATCGAGTACCTATTGTCTGTGACAAACACTCTTGTTGGGTTGCTCATTTTTTCCCTTCAGGAAACTTCTGCAGAGGATCTCTTTCTAGCTTCCCTTTACATATGAGGAAGGCTGAGGCTTGGAGGTGTAAGTAACCTGCAGAGCCAGGGCCTTGAAGACATTCCCTCTGCCTCCAATGAGGCCAGCCTCCTTTCTGCTTTGCCACCAACTGTCTACCCACCCCAGTGCTGCCTCCCATTTCTGTGCACCCATACCCAATTTCTTACTTGAACTGGTGCTCCCGGGAGCTGCGGATTTTGGAGGAGAAGCGCTCAGCCAGCTTCTCCAGGCTGCGGGAGTACTCGAGCTCAATCTCAGCTTTCCGGCGGAAAAACTCCTGGAGGTCTTGAAGCAGCTGCAGTCGCGACTCTGATTGCTGCTCCAGACATTTGAACTGCTCCACCAGCTGCGTACGGATCTCTGCGGGTACACAAGGGTGGGAGCATGAGACCGGTGGTGGATGGGGACATTGGGATCCATTCTGCTGCTGGCCCAGGCCCTGCAATTCAGGCAGCTCCCTCCTACCACCACCCAGAGCCTCTCTGAGCTCAGCAGAGCACTGGCCCAAAGATTTCACTCTTGCTCTTTTTTGCCATTGGTCTAACCAAATGTTTCCAAAACTTGAATCATTGCAATGTCACCACCATGATTTTGCCCATATCCACATGCCCCAAGCATTCTTATTTCTTCCATATGATCTAGTGAATTGACTCGCTTTTCTTACGGAGATGATCTTGCTTAAAATGCAGTTTCCTATCACTACAGTAAAGTGAAAAACTAGGACTCCTTGCAGCCTGGGAAATAATTCAATGAAAACAAAAACATTGTAAAATTCTATCTAGAGATGATTGTTTACCAAAGGCCCCAAGCCCAAGCTGCTGGCTCGTTATCAACCAAAGGAAAACGGCAGTGTGACTTTCTCCGTGTGTAGTCAGGACTGAGAGAGGGCCGAGAAGGCATGCTCTTCCCTCTTGGGTTTCAGTGTTATTTAAGGCCATGTGTCCTACTTTAAATCACCTTGAATCCATGTATGAACCTCTCAGATACCACACTTCAGAAAATACTGATTGCTCAACAGGTCTATGCAACCAGGGCAACAGTTCAAAAGCTGGAAGCTGGAGTTAAACATCACCATCATACAATCTATGCATGTAACAAAATTACACTTGGACTCCATCCATTTATAAATAAATAAATGTACAAAGTTAAGATTCTCTTCCAATAATAAAAAATGTTTTTCAAAAGTTGGTATTAGCAAATCTTCCTTTAATCAAGGGATCATAAAGCCTTGCTGCTCAAAGTGTGGTCCATGAGGCTCACGCCTGTAATCCCAGCACTCTAAGAGGCTGAGGCAGGAGAATCGCTTGAGGCCAGGAGCTCAAGACCAGCCTGGGCAAAACAGGGAGACCTCATCTTTAATTTAAAAAAAAAAAAGGTTTTTAAATCAGCCAGGTGTGGTGGCATGGGCTTGTGTTCCCAGCTACTCAGGAGGCTGAGGCAGAAGGATTGCTTAAGCCAAGGAGGTCCAGGCTGCAGTGAGTCATGATTGTGCCACTGCACTCTGGCTTATATGACAGAGCAAGACTCTGTCCCAAAAAAATTAAAATGTGGTCCATGGACCAGCAGCATCAGCATCACCAGTGGGCTTGTTAAAAATGCAGAAGCCTACACAATAAAACAAGACCTCATGACTAGTAAAAATTTTAAAAAGCAATTAGCTGAGCATGGTGGCACATGCCTCTAGGCCTAGCTACTTGGGAGGCTGAGGTTGCTTGAGCCCAGGAGTTCAAAGCTTCAGTGAGCCATGACCATACCATGATGCTTACAGGGAATGCCTATAAGAGAAAAGAAAAGAATGGAGAAAGAAAGAAAAAGAGAGGAAAAAAAGGAAAAGAAAGAAAAAGGAAGGAAGGAAGGAAGGAAGGAAGGGAGGGAGGGAGGGAGGGAGGGGAGGGGAGGGGAGGGGAGGGGCAGGGGGAAGGGCAGGGGTGGGGGCAGAGGCAGGGGCAGGTGAAGGAAAGAAAAGGGGAGATAAGGAAGGGAAGGAAGGGAAGGCAGGGCAGGAGGAAAGGAGGAAGGGGGGGGGGGAGGGAGGGAGAGAGGAAGGGAGGGACAAAGGAAAAAGAAACACAAAATCATCCAAACTCATCAAGATGCATAAATTAAATGTATACATTTTGGGAGCATTTCAATTATACCTTAATAAAGCTAAAAAAGCTGCAGAGTCAAGTCTCAGGCTCCAGTCCATACCATCCAAATCAGAATATGAATTTTATAAAGATCACCCAGGTGGTCCTTGTGCAGCTTAAAGTTTGAGAAGCACTGCCATCAGCCATCCCACCCATCTCATTATGAGAAGCATTTCCCATGCAAAGTTATGCTTTCTGTTTAATGATTTATCAAATGTGTAAAATAATAATGTTATTTTGATAAACTGTGTAATAGTGATCACTGTAATGATACACAAATCAATATAAAAGGAAGATCCTTAGAGTTCAAAGGAAAAAATTTAAACGTCCATTTCAGTTTACATACATACATACATAGAGTTAAAAAAGGATGATAATTTTAAAACTTTCAAACATAAAATATGTTAAGATTAAATTTTACAAAGCAGGTGAAAGGGAAGTAGGAGTTCAAGAAGGCAAAGAAAGAACAGTGTAAAACATTGGACTTGTTCAGGTAATTTTTGATGGATGATGGTAGAAACCAATGTATTATGGTATTTATTCTATGACCAGGCAATTTCACTCATGGATCTATACACAAAAAAAATGAGTGCCTATGTTCACCAAAAATATATACAAGAATACTTATAGTATCTTTATAGCCAAATATTAGAAATGACCCTAAATGTCATAGAATGGATTTTTTGAATGTGAGATATTGAGTGGAATAATATACAACAATGAAAAAGGAATGCTACTGCTCCCCACAGTGAAACCCACAGACCTTGTGTTTACGAAAGAAGCCAGAATAAATGAGGTTGTGCAAAACTAGTTCATGGTTTTGTGCAAAACTAGTTCCATGGCTGGAAAAGTGGTCACCTTTGACGGGTATTGATGGAGAGATGGAATATGCATGCCTTCTGAATACTGGAGATGTTCTACACCTTGATGTGGGTGGTAGGGACACTGATAAAAATTAATTGAGCTGCTAACTTAATATCTGTGCATTCTACTACATGAAAGTGAGGCTTCAATAAAAAGACAAAATTAAAAATTGCTATGTTAGGTTCTATTTGATACATTTTCAAGAATTTTTTGAGACAGGGATCTCTATGTTACCCAGGCTGGTCTTCAACTCTTAGGCTCAAGCAATCCTTCTGCTTTGGCCTTCTAAGTAGCTGGGACTAAAGAGGTAAGCCACCCCGCCCATCCTACCCCGCAACATTTTGATATAGTTTTAAGAGAGTGGTATGGTATAATGCTACACTACAATGTGAATATTTAAAACATGGCCGAAATTATATCCTTTGTAACTAACCAAGCTTAGAATAAAATATTTTATTTTATTTAGCACAAACTAAAGAATGAGACATTTTACATGTAAACTTGAAATGTATAAAGCAGAAGAGATATTTTTGTTCCCAAAGTTCATGTAGAGGATAGATAAGCAAAAAAAAAAAAAAAAAAAAAAGTTGAAAACCACTGCTTCAGAGCCCACATGAAGCACTGCTCCTCCCAGAAAGTCCTGGGCTGCCAGCCCTGGTGACCCTCTTCTGAACTCCCACGGCACATACAGTAAATCTCAGATTGCCTAGTGCTGTTCTGTTTGGGTTTTTTGTTGTTAGTTTTCATTCCTTCATGTATGCATGCCATCTCTGCCTTATCTCCTCAAACTCTGAGGGTAGATTCTCCCAGCACATAATAGGTCATCAGGATATCTGTACAGCAAACTATTATTTCCACCCCCCCTTTTTTTTTGAGATAGAGTCTTGCTCTGTCGCCCAGGCTGGAGTGCAGTGGCACCATCTTGGCTCACTGCAACCTCTGCCTCCTGGGTTCAAGCGATTCTCCTGCCTCAGCCTCCCAAGTAGCTGGTATTACAGGCATAAACCACCACACTTGGCTAATTTTTATATTTTTAGTAGAGACAGGGTTTTACCATGTTGGCCAGGCTGGTCTGTTGACCTCAGATGATTTGCCCACCTCAGTCTCCCAAAGTGCTGGGATTACAAGCATGAGCCACCACGCCCAGCCTACTATTTCCCATTAGCAGGTGCTTTTACCCAAGTGCATTAAATGTTGTGATTATGGGAGCCTCAGCTGACACACACACACACACGCACACTCACACCATATCACACATACATACAAAACACACAACATACTACACATAATACCACTCAACCCCCCCACACACACACATTCAACATGGATGTACAATAGCATGGTTTTTACAGATGAAGAAACCAAGGCTTTATGTAAACCAAAATCAGGGACTCATCCAAGGTCACACATTGTTCTCCGAACTCTAACAAACTACTCAGGTCCCCTCTTAGGTGCTCTACCTGTTGAAGTGAACTGTAGCGAGGTACCGTCACTTCCACCAGACCAAGCCTTGTCATATCAACACATAATTACAAAAGTATAACAATGCAGTGAGTGCTACTAGTGTTTCCCCACTTTTTCCCCATAGACAAGGAAGTGGCCGCTCAGGAAGAAGTCGCTAGCAGAGCCAGCAATCAAACCCAAGTCCCTCAGAAGCTTACCACAATGCTCTTAACATGATGATGTAACTAGACTGAGGCCCCTATAGGAACTTCTTGGTCTGTATTTCATGAATTATCCTTGTTTTCCATATGAAAACAAAACAAAAGACACTTTTAATCCATCTGTATTCAACCTCTTACATTCTTCTTGTAACAAGATGGCGATCTAAAGAGATATTATTTATTAGAAAAGCTGTAGCCACTGCCTTCCTCCATTACAGAGCATAATCAGGAGACAACATTCTCATATTTTAGAGGAAAAGCTCATAAATCACATCGTGATGACAGCAGATGATTTGGAAGGAGCAGAGCAACCTCCCCCAGTTCATATAACCAGCTGGAGCCTCCCAGGCTAGGCCGCGCATGGAACCCTCCAGCAATTTGCAGGGCTCAGAATCAAGTCTTTCTAGCAGGAAATGGCCCTGGCAGAGCATCCTCTGAAGGCTGCCCTGATCTGGAGCCCTGAGGGCATTTGATTACCCATCTCGTTATTTCTAATTCCCATCCAAGTTGCTGCTAGGAGCCTACAAGCTGGCACAGATTTGAGTTTTCTCCTTGAAGATTTCAAAGAGAGAAAAATAAAATAAAACAGAATTGTTCCCAAGGCACAGACTTCATTCAGCAGACATTCCCCCTGGGGAGAGCTCCAGCCATAACACAGCGTTGAGTGGCAGAAAAATTAAAAGGGGATAGGGCAGAGAGGGAA